TGGTTGCATGATACTATTGAAATATAAACTTGGTTTTAATTTTTTAAATAAAGCTTAATTTCTAGAAGCTTATTCTAGCATATGTGGTAGGTATGAAATTATTGTGTCGTAGGTGTGGTAGGTGTGAAATTATTGTGTGGTAGGTATGAAATTATTTGTAACCATTTGATTGAAATTGTGGTGGCACAATCCTAACCATTAATTTAGGAGGTGTTACTAGTATAAGTAGGGGTAGAGTTTTTGAGTTTGTATCAAACCAAGTTAAGGTGATAAATAAGTGTGAAGCTTATTCCATAAGTTCTTAGCCTTTGTCATATCGAAAAAGGTTTCTCCATTCCAACAAAGTTGTATCAATGTCTAAAGGTTCCTTTATAGAGTAATGACAAACGGTGACATGGTTTCCTTCAAAGTTCCGATGCTTAAGGAAAGCATCCACGACAATTAGAGTATCAAGATGAAAGCACTCCTTGGAGCGCATGACGTTTGGGAGGTTGTGGAGAAAGGCTACGATGAGCCAAGTGACGAGTCTGTTCTATCCACAACACAAAAGGATAGCTTAAGAGACTTGCGAAAGAGAGATAAGAATGCTCTCTTCCTCATTTATCAAGCTTTAGATGAAGATGGTTTTGAGAAGATCTCAAGTGCTACTTCGGCCAAAATAGCATGGAAGAAACTCGAGGTTTCGTATAAGGGAGAAGAGAAGGTTAAAAAGGTACGACTTTAAACTTTAAGAAGCCAATTTGAGGTTTTGCATATGAAAGAAGACGAGTTGGTCTTCGATTACTTTTCTAGAGTCATTACCATTTCCAATAAACTAAAAAGAAATAGTGAGAAGTTAGAAGATGTGACTATCATGAAAAAGATTCTTCAATCGTTAGATTCAAAATTTGATAATATAAATATCACAACCATTATCAAAGTGACGAATGACTTACAAACGATGACGATAGAGCAACTTCTGGGTTCATTGCAAGCCCATGAAGAAAAGAAGAAAATGAATGAAGAGATTGTCGAACAACTTCTCAAGACGAATATCCAATCAACTCAGAAAGATGAAAGCTTCAACATCATTAGAAGCCAACATGGAAGAGGTAATGGACAAGGACGAGGTCATGCTAGCAAGCAAGGATGGAGTACCAACAATAAATATGAGAAAAGAGAAAGATCTACAAGAGGACGTGGTCGAGGGCACTCAAACTCAAGGTATGATAAATCTCAAATTAAGTGCTATAATTGTAATAAGTTCGAGCATTAAGCGAAAGAATAAAGAGCACCTAAGTACAAAGTTAATGAAAGAGTCAACTACATAGAAGAAAAAAGAAAAGAAGATGACACTATACTTCTAGCATATAAGAACAATGAAAGAGGTGAAGATAGTACATGGTACCTTGACATCGGTGCAAGCAACCATATGTGTGGGAGACAAAGCATGTTCGTAGAGCTTGACGAATCAGTAAGAAGCAATGTGTCTTTTGAAGATGAGTCCAAGATAAAGGTGAAAGACAAATGTAACATTCTCATTCGTCAGAAAAATGAGAAACTTCAATTTATTTCTAATGCTTACTTTGTGTAGAATATGAAGAGCAACATCTTGAGTTTAGGGCAACTCTTGGAGAAAGAATATGATATTCACTTGAAAGAAAATACTCTCTTCTTAAAAGACAATAGTGGTAACTTGATTGCTAAGTTGTCAATGTCTAAAAATAGAATGTTCTCACTCAACATTCAAAATGATATTGTCAAATGTCTGAAGACCTGTTATAAAGATGCTTCTTGGCTCTGACATCTTCGATTTGGGCATCTCAACTTTGGAGGACTCGATTTGCTTTCAAAGAAAGAGATGGTAATAGGATTACCTTGCATCAACCACCCTGATCAATTAAGTGAAGGATGCTTACTCGGAAAGCACTTCAGGAAAAACTTTCTAAGGGAGTCAAGTTCAAGAGCCCAAAAGCCTCTTGAGCTCATACATACAAATGTCTGTGGTCCAATAAAACCAAACTAACTCGAAAAGAGCAACCATTTTCATCTCTTCATAGATGATTTTTCACGAAAAACATGGGTGTATTTCTTAAAACAAAAATCAGAGGTTTTTTGAATATTCAAGAAATTTAAGGCAGATGTAGAGATAGAGAGTGGTCTCAAGATCAAAGCTATGCGATCTAATCGAGGAGGAGAATTCACTTCAAAAGAATTTCAAGAATTCTGTGAAGCCAACGAAGTACGTCGACTTCTAACTGTTCCAAGATCCCCCCAACAAAATGGAGCAGCAGAAAAGAAGAATAAAACCATCCTCAACATGACAATGAGCATGTTAAAAAGTAAGAGATTGCCGAAGGAGTTTTGGGGAGAAGCGGGTAGCGGTTGCATGTGCTGTTTATTTGACTAACTGATCACCAACAAGAAGTGTGTTGGGAAAGACAACACAAGAATCATGGAGTGGAAGGAAGCCCGACATCTCTCATCTACTAGTTTTTGGATGCATAACTCATGTACACATACCCATCGAGAAAAGAAGTAAGCTGGATGACAAGAGCGAGAAGTTCATTTTCAAGGGTTACGACAACAACTCGAAAGGCTACAAGTTATACAATCCAAATACAAGGAAGACAACCATCAGCAGAGATGTCATATTCGATGAAGGAGGAGATGAGATTGGGGACTTAATGATGATGACTACAACTTTTTCTCATACTTTCAAGAAGAAGACGCAGAGCAGCTAAGGATCGAGCAAGCAAGAGAAGAGCCTACTACTCCACAAACAACATTGACTACAAGTAATCAAAGTAACTCATCATCATCAACTTCAAGAGAAAATTCAAATGAAAGAGTACAACGCTTCAGAAGATTAGAAGATCTATATGAGGTAACTATGAATCAAGATAATCTTACTTTTTTTTGTCTCTTTTCCGACTGTGAGCCCATGGATTTCCAAGAAGCCATACAAAGCAAGAAGTGAAAAGATGGAATAGATGAAGAAATCAAATCAATCGAGAAGAATGACACATGGGAGCTAGCTTCACTTCCTAAAGAGCATAAGACAATTGATGTGAAGTGGGTGTACAAAGCGAAGAAGAATTACAAAGGAGAAGTTGAAAGATACAAGGCAAGATTGGTGTCAAAAAGCTACAGTCAAAGAGCAGACATCGACTATGATAAGGTATTTGCCCCAGTTGCTCGATTAGAAACTATTAGACTAATCATCTCTTTGGCAGCTCAAAATAAGTGGAGAATACATCAAATGGATGTAAAATCTGCCTTCTTGAATGGAATACTTGAAGAAAAAGTCTACATTAACCAGCCATCAGGATATGAAGTCAAAGGGCAAGAAAACAAGGTTCTAAAGCTAAAAAAGGCTCTATACAGACTGAAGCAAGCACCACGAGAGTATCTGCAAGAGAAAGGCTTCATGAACTGTCCTTATGAGCATGCTCTTTACATTAAGAATGAGGATGAAAATGATTTGATTGTTTGTTTATATGTCGATGACTTGATCTTCATCGGAAACAATCCAAGCATGTTTGAAAAGTTCAAAGAAGCGATGACAAAGGAGTTTGAAATGACAGATATTGGGCTCATGACATACTGCCTTGGCATTAAAGTCAAGCAAGCGGAAGATGGGATCTTCATCTCTCAAGAAGGTTATGCAAGGGAGATATTGAAGAAATTTAAAATGGAGAATAACCGACTTATAAAAACCCTTGTAGAATGTGGAGTCAAGCTATCACAATTTGATGAGGGAAAAAGAATTGATCCAACATTTTTCAAGAGTTTGGTTGGAAGTTTGCCCTACTTGAAATGCACAAGAACAGGTATTCTTTATGCTGTTGGATTTGTCAGTCGCTACATGGAGACTCCGACTATTATCCACCTGAAGACCGCTAAAAGAATAATGCGCAATATCAAAGGTACAATTGATTTGGCTTATTTTACTCATCATCCAACAATTTCAAGCTTGTAGGATATAACGACAATCATTGGGCTGAAGACATTGATGATAAAAAGAGCACTACATGTTTCTTGTTCTTGATAGGAGATACTGCTTTCACTTGGATGTCAAAGAAACAACCAATTGTCACTCTTTCTACTTGTGAAGCAGAGTACGTGGCTGCAACCTCATGTGTTTGTCATGCAATTTGACTTCAAAACCAATTAAAGGAGTTAAGTTTACAACAAGAAGAGACGATCAAGATTTATATTGATAACAAGTCTGCAATCGCGCTAGCAAATAATCTAGTTTTCCATGATAGAAACAAGCACATTGATGTGCACTATCACTACATCAGCGAATGCATCGAAAGAAAGAAGTTACAAGTGCAGTACGTGAAGTCTCAAGATCAAGTTGCAGATATTTTTACCAAGCCACTCAAGAGTGAAGACTTTATTAAAATGAGAAGTTTGCTTGGAGTCACAAAATCAAGTTTAAAAGAGGGTGTTGAAATATAAACTTGATTTTAGTTGTTTAAATAAAGCTTAATTTCTAGAAGCTTATTCTAGAATATGTGGTAGGTATGAAATTATTGTTGGTGTGGTAGGTGTGGTAGGTGTGGTAGGTGTGAAATTATTGTGTGGTAGATATGAAATTATTTGTAACCAATGGATTGGAATTGTGGTGGCACAATCCTAACTATTAATTTAGGAGGTATCTCTAATATAAATAGGGGTAGAGTCTTTGAGTTTGTATCAAGCCAAGTTAAGGTGATAAATAAGAGTGAAGCTTCTTCCATATATTTTTAGCCTTTGTAATATCCAAAAGGCTTCTCCATTCCAACAGATACTTACATGGTATATGCTCGTATGACAACAAGAAAAAACTCTTAGGTAGTTGTAAAAAGTAAAACAAATGAACAAAATAGTAAATAGGGAATGTTTAAATTAGACATAGAAACACTCATTTGGCTAAAGCTGAAACTGAAATTTTCTGAAGGTTTGTAAAATTAAATTCCAGTAAGCATTTCGATTTGCACTACTTCAATGACCAAGAATTCCTATAAGCTCTCAATATAATCTCTTTATCAAGAATTCTGAAGAACAAGTACAAGAAATTTATTTCGAAACCATGAATTACAATACCCAGAGACCAAAGATGGCAACCTCTATGCCAATAATATCATATAGATCAAGAAAACTTGACCCTTATTTATTAGCTTACCCCACTTTTTAGTGCAAACATCCTTTCTTATAGAGAATAATTAACTAAATCAATGCATTAATAAGGATATTAATAAATTTATGGAGCAACACGACCCATAGTCATACCCCCATCCACAAAAATTACTTGACCGGTGATATAGGATGATGCAGACATGACAAGGAATGAAGCAACTGCTGCTATCTCCACTGGCTCTCCTATCCTTCCAAGAGGAACACCCAGTTTTTCTGCTTTAGAAATGCTACCCTCCGGTGCAAAAGACTGCAAAAATTATAATTCCAAATTAATCAAATGAATATATATGTATATACATATATTTGTGTGTGTGTGTGTGCGTGTATACATACATATATACATACATACATACATACATACATACATACATACATACATACATACATACATACATACATACATACATACATACATACATACATACATACATACATACATATACATACACATACATACATACATACATATACATATATATATATATATATATACATATGTATCATCTTTAAATCTATTTTTCAAGCTCACAGATAATAACAATGGAGTTATGATTGGTCCAGGTGCAATGCAGTTGACTCGAATATTATCTTTTGCCCACTCCAAAGCCAGCTTTCCCAGATTTCTCGTCAGCTGATTCATTCCACCTGAAATTGAATCACATAGATGTGATTTATCATTAATTCAATGTTTTTTCAAATTGAGAGGGTGGACTGGTTGATAATGTGGATAAGACTTTGAGTGAACTTTTTAAGAAGAAGGATGTGTGAATAAATTATATAGGAACAAAAATTTATTAGAAGGAGATTTAACTAAAAATTTTTAAGAAAATTTTGATTAGAATAGCTAGGGCTGTCAAAAAAACTCGTTGTTCGCGAACAGCTCATGTTCGGCTCGTTCATGTTCGACTCGTTCTTTAAGTAAACGAGCCGAACACGAACTTAACGAATAAGTTTTTAAAACTCGAATTATAAACGAGCCGAACACGAACAACTCTTTTTTTTTTGCTTGAAATTAAAAAATATATAATTATTAATATAATAATATATTACATAAATTATTTATATAATAATATATTATATATATTCATATCTAAGTTTAAATCATAAGGTCTTATATGGCTATGTGGTTAATGCCTTCTTTTGTATATATTTGATCCAAGTTCTAATCTCACACTTTACATCTATTTTTTCAATTTAATTTTTCCGAATCAATTTCGAGCCGAACACGAACACAAATATTTAAATCAAGCCGAACACGAACACACTGCTCACGAGCCGATTTCGAACACGAGCTATTTCAAACAAGCCGAACACGCGCTCAGGCTCGGCTCGTTTACAACCACAAGAATAGCTATATTTTATGGATCTTAATGTCAAGTGAAAAATAAGCTTAGGATGGTAAAGTTAAGTATTGTTTTAATAAAATATTGAAATGTTTTTTTTAAAATAAATAAAAATAAAAAATAATTTCATTTTATGACCTATGAATGTGTGACAAAATAAAAAAAAATGAAAATGATTATATTAGATAGATAGTGGGACTTGTATTTATTTAAAATCAATTCATAAAAAAAAATATTTCTGGGCGGTTTCATTATCTATAACAAATGTAGACTACACACAATTGAATTTTTGAAGGAGTTTCAAACACTGAAGATATTAACAAGTCCAGCTCCACTTAAATAATTTAATATTTGTGTGATTTATACAAATATTTCTTTCCCAACACTAACACATCTATGGTGTTGAAGATGAGATTCATACAAAATTCGATTAACTTTCGACTCTTATAACTGCTTTTTGCTCCTCTGATGGCTCCGGGGATCTCCAATCGGATAGGTTTTCTTTCAAGTCATTTTGTTGTTGTTTCTGTGTGTATTTTAACAGTTGTTCTATTCAATATGTCTTTGTTCCTCCATTAGATTATCTAAAATTTTAATATATTACTAAATAAAATACTTTTTATTAAAATTTGTTGAAAGTAATACCAAATAGAAACAAAACAATAAATGCAGCTGAAAAAAAAAAAAGCTTATACACGGTCACTTGCCTTTAGTGGTACCATAAACACTTAATAGTGGAAATGCAATTAAACTTCCGGCCGAGGAAATGAATACAATATTGCCGATCCCGGATGCCTTCATAAGTGGGTGAGCCAATTGGCTCAAATGGAAAGCGGATTCCAAATTTGTGGACATCAAAAACCTATAATCTTCTTCTGTAATTTCGATGGCAGGCTTATATACGCTCGTCCCTGTATTATTGATCTACATGCATATAGAGAACACAACTTTTTAAATTTATGAACTACGTACTCTTAAGCAGATCAAGGATGAAGATTGCTATACTTAACGAGTATGTTGAGCTTTCCTTGGAACAAAGAAGACACGGTCTCAATTAGTTTCTCTCTCTCTGCTCGTGAAGAAACATCACACACAGAGGCTGTGACATCAAGCTTCAAGCTTTGCCAGTGCTCCAGAGATTTATCGAGTTCCTTCTGATTTCGAGCACATGTGTGTACCTTTGCTCCATGTCTAGCCAACTCTTCAACTATTGCTTGCCTTTAATAAATTATATGGTTAAAGATAGTTGATTCAGGCTTTATCTATCTTGAAATTAATAATATAATAGAAACAGAGAAGAGAAGAGAAGAGAAGAAGGCCAAACCCGATTCCTTTGGAGCCGCCGGTGACCAAAGCTGTGGCTCCATGAAGAGACCATCTGCTCTCAAACTCAACCTTTGCCATATCTAAATGATGAACAAATTAGAGATTTATGGCCGATATATGCTGAGTGTTTGCCCTCAAGTATATTTATTTGCAGTTCGAAAAAAATGGCTGGGCTATCTGATTGGCTCATCAAGGACGCAACCGTTGGAAAAAGACAGCGTTGAAATCCAACAGTTGGCAGCCCCCCTGAATTGACTGTCTTGTAAGAGTAATTAGTCCCGTGCAGCCCCCCTGAATTGACTGTCTTGTAAGAGTAATTAGTCCTGTTGGAAAATAACTTATGGTAGTTTCATCCCATATATTCGGCACTTCGAGCCACTCGCGGCCTCCACATAAACCCGAAACTCTGTAACTTGAAAGGCAGCCTTTATACAGAACAAGTAAATGTAAGTAAGAGATAACTCACTATAGGACAAGTATGAATATATTGAACCAATAAATGGGCTGTCAATAGCACTGAGTATAGGAAAAATTATTCCATACGGTTCCGACACCGCACGTAGCTTGCGTGCGGTGTCCGATCCGGACCGTAAATCACCTGATTTACGATTCGGATGTATTTCGGTGGGCCCCATCTAATTTTTTTTTTAAAAAAAATGAAAATGATCCTGATCGTAGATCACCGTGATCTACGATCAGGATCGTACACCGCATGCAGGGATGCATGCGGTGTCCATACGCAATAATTTCTCCCGAGTATAGACTGTCTATAGCCTCGAAATTTAGTTATTCTTAGAGCTCTCCTCAAATTAATAATTCATAGGTTAGATTATTAATTATTGTGCGGTATGTATAGAACAATCAACGAAGAAAACGAAAAAAAATAAAATCAGAAAATTCGCAAAATAGGAATGTATAGTGACCCACAAATTTACATGATTCAGCAAATTATTTACGTTTACGGAATTGCAAAAGGATTTTATTTTTTGAGGATATATAGTACCGATCTTCTAGATGATTACAAGAAAAACTTCTAGCTTCTTCTCTCTCTCCCTCACTTCTCCTCTCTCTCTCTCTCTCTCTCTCCCTCCCCGCGATCCACGCCGAAGAAGAAGAAGAAGAAAATACCAATTTTTAATCTGCAATGACTTCGGGCTTTTCTTCACCCGTAAGCCAACCTTTGCTTACAGGAAACCGTGAAGAAGAAAAGTAGAGAAAGGCTGCTGGCACTTATATTCAAAACCAATTTCTTCTGCACTTTAAATAGTGGGGGGGACCTGGCATCCTTTCGCGAAACGACATGGAGGAATGGTAGGCGGGAGCTTTTGCTATCTCCTTTAATTTATTTATTTGGACAGGGCTCCCATTTAACATGAATTTCTCCCTGATATTGTGAGAACTGAAGGATGACAAGTTCTTTGTAAGTATATCGGCCACTTTATTTGTGTTGCAATGTGATGAATGCTAATTGTTTTATTTGAGATGTGATCTCTGATAAAATGGGAATCAATTACAATATGTCTGGTCTTTGCAAGAAAAATAAGATTTGTAGCAAAAGCTACGGTGGGTTTATTGTAACAGTAGATAGGGGTAGGATTGGTTGTCGAACTATCGAATTCCTAAAGAAGGCATCGCAGCCAAATTATCTCTATAATTGCGGTGGCTAAGACTCGATATTCGGCCTCGTAGAAAACCCAACAACAATTGATTATATCTGAAAAACTTGGTGGGGACATGGAGGGATTCGAATTACCTGACAACGGAGAGGGTCGTCGAGTGACGAATGTCGAGGATGCGGGAGAGAAGGGCTTCGTGCAAGTCACAGGGCGACAGATCTTTGATCGAATGACACCCCGGTTCCCGCGGTGGATGCTGGTGTTGCTGCCAAAATGACTGGTTATCTGGCCTAAGTAGGCTTGCTACATACTAAAAAATCAAAGACAATGCCTGACCCCAACATGGGTGGTTTTCTTTCTTCAAATTAATGTAATCATTAATGTTGGACTTGTAATAAATTTGATAATGAATTTGCTGCATCCCTTCTTGTGTGTAAATAATTTATGATGTTGTTTCTACTTCAATGCTTCCCATATTACTTTTGACAATATGTATTTTTTGTCTTTTTTACCCATTGTCTTTGGCGATTATGTTTTCTTCACCACCATAAATATGAGCTTTTGAGCATGAAGATAATGTTTATTGTCAATTTCTTCAAGTGTCTCTTTCACACTAGAATAATCATATCTTCTTCTATTCAACATTCTTTCATTCACCACAACCCTATGGACTTCATTAGGGGTGATATGGTCGCATTGTTCAATACAGATCAGGAACAGGTCGACCACGACTAAACAATCTATTTCTTTATCTCTTTTGTCAAGCTGATGGTTTCCAGGAAAAATGAGAGGGTGAATACGTTTCGTGCCATGCAACTGTTATTCTATGAAAATCAGTTCCAGCTTGGTTTTAGGCTTCTCCTCTGTGAAGAATTAATTAGCATCTGTTGGTTCTATGGGATTATTCAGCATAAGTAATGTTGAATTTGATCATCATGATCGTGGTGATATTCATGTGGCGGATGGATATCCTTTGGTCGATTTTTCTCAGAGAATAAGATCGTCATTAGCATGTTCAACCATCCGTTTTTTTAGCACACCTACCCGAAGTGATTTGTCCAATTTTTCTCAAGGATTACGATCCACTACCAAGGCCTCGAAAGTGAAGGATTAGAAGTGTAAGTTGTAATTCACTTCTCTGAAGAGGAGTTGGCTTATTGGCAAGGCGAAGCCTCCTTATGATAGTCTCGCCAGCACACTTATATTGGCCAAGCCGAGAAACCTCCTTACAGTAGTTCCGCCCACACACCTATATTGGTTAAATCGAAGCCTCCTTACGGTAGTCCAGCCCACACACCTATATTGGTCAAAGAGAAGCCACCTTACGGTAGTCTTGCCCACACACCTATATTGGTCAAGGAGAAGCCTTCTTACAACCTTTCCTAATAGGATTATAGGGTCATGGATGCCACACTCAACGTGCATAAGTTCCTCATTCTGTCATCGACAAGGTCCTCTCCTTCCTAATATATGGTCGAATGATGACAGAAGACTAGGAGTTCAATGACACTGCCCAAAATGAATTGGACATTATTCTGGCTGAAGGTCAAGAAGTCAGAGTAGATAAGGTTTTGATAGGTATGGGTGGTTATTTTCATTTGATCTCTCCATTCACTTTTGTTGTTCAAAATGTGAGAATCGATAAATTAATCCTTATTAAAAAGAGAGGATAGGATGAAAGGCCACATGTGAATAACTCCCTTTATTTTTAAAAAATTTTGGTTGGAGGCATTCACGAGTTCACAGACGAGGGAGGGAATGATCAATCAAGCGTAGGGGTCAATGGCACCTCAGTTGCCCCAATGCTTGCGGTGCCTATGGGCGCTCGACCTCCCTCACCTAAAATCCTTAGACCTCGAGGGAGATATTCTGTGACTAGGAGGTAGTCCCCTCAGTGTTGTATTTTGTGCAGCCAGATTTTGTTGTTGTGGCTGAATGGACCTTATAGGGTATATCTTTGTATAGCACCAATGAAGAACTTTTAAGTATGCTGAAGAAAAACCATGACCGCTTGACACCTCAAGAAAACTAAGAATTGTACTGCCAAACACCAGAAAAAAACCAAGAACTGGATTGCCGAATAGGAATAAAAAATAAATGTCAAACACCTCCTTGACAGCCGAAGGAGAGTGAAACCGCAACAGACAAAAAAACAAAGGAAAGAAACAAAAAAACTGCAGTATAGATAATATACAAATAAGAAACAAGAACACCCAAGAATTACGTGGTTTGGTCCATTTGACGTACATCCACGGAGGAAAATCAACCATCAAATCCACTAAGTTAATAAAGAAGAATTACAAAATTTTTATATTGAGGAATGAGCTCTCATCTTGCTCTGATCTCTCTCTTGAATCTCCTCGATACAAGATCTCTAAAATCAATGAGTTCTCATCTTGCCATGATCTCTCTCTCAAATCACCTCGATACAAGATCTCCAAGATCCTCCCCCTCAGTTCTTGAAGTCTTTCCTCTTCTTTCTCTAACCAATTGATTTGCTTTCCCTTGGTCTTGGTCTAGTAATTGTGAGTCATTGTAACAAAGTACTTGTACAAAAGAAACCAAATGAACAAAATAATAAACCGGGTATGTTTAACTTAGGCTTAGAAACACAAATTTAACCAAATATCGAACTAAGAATTTCTCAAGCTTTGCAAGAAGGAATTCCAATAAGCATTTCTATTTGCACTCAACTGACCAAAACAACATTTCTGCATAGGTAACACGCTATGAATAAATATTATCTTGTAATAGTGAATCATTTCCTTGCTTTAAGCTCAAGAAAATATCATCAAATCAAACTGCCAACACTTTAAGAACTTATATATTCCATCATATTCATTTCATAAAAATCATTCAAAGTGCTATAAAAATCCTCCAAAAAAATCATCAATTTTACGTTTTTGTTGAACTCTACTTTTAAAAGACAACCTTAATATTATATCTTTATTAAAATTTGTGAAGAACAAGTACAAGAAATTTATTTTAAAACTACAGAGTTTAATACCAAGAGATCAAAGATGACGACCTCTAAGCTAATAATACCACCTAGATCATGAAAACATGACCTTTTTTATGGGCTTAGCCCAACTTTTTAGTACAAACAACCTTTTCCTAGGGGATAAAATAACTAAATCCATGCATTAATGGCGATATCAATTAGATTTCTGGAGCAAAACGACCCATAGTCATACCCCCATCTACAACAATAACTTGACCGGTGATATAAGATGATGCAGACATGACAAGGAATGTGGTAACTGTTGCTATCTCCACTGGCTCTCCCATCCTTCCAAGAGGTACACCCATATTTTCTGCTTTAGACATGCTTCCCTCCGCTTCAAAATACTGCAACAATTAAAATTCCAAATTAATTGTTTTGATTAGTTAAATCAATGTTTGTGTGTGTGTGTGTATCATCTTTAATTCTATTTTTCAAGCTCACAGATAATAACAATGGTGTTATGATTGGTCCGGGTGCAATGCAGTTGACTCGAATATTATCTTTTGCCCACTCTAAAGCCAGATTTCTCGTCAGCTGATTCATTCCGCCTGAAATATTGGATCATACAATTATGCTTCATCATTAATTCAACATACCCAAATTTTTAATATATACTAATAAAATTTTTTGTATTAGAATATGTTGAAAATAGCACCAAAATGATGCAAAATAAATCCAATAAAGACAGTATATGCAACTTAAAAAGAAAAGCTTATATATATATATATAAGTGGCTCCATAAACACTTGATACTGGAAATGCCATTAAACCTCCGGCGGACGAAATGAATACAATATTGCCGATCCCGGATGCCTTCATAAGTGGGTGAGCCAATTGGCTCAAATGAAAAGCAGATTCCAAATTTGTCGACATTAAAAATCTATAATCTTCTTCAGTAATTTCGACGGCAGTCTTATATAAACTCGTCCCTGTATTATTAATCTACATACAAACATACAAGCACAGCATTTTTAATTAATGAACTACGTACGTATAAGCATAAGATGAAGGTTGTTATACTTACGAGAATGTTGAGTTTTCCGTGGAACAAAGAAGAAACTTTCTCCATTAGTTTCTCTCTCTCTGCTCTTGAAGAAATATCACATACAGAGGCCGTGACATCAAGCTTCAAGCTTTGCCAGTGCTGCAGAGATTTATCGAGTTCTTGCTGATTCCGAGCACATGTGTGCACCTTTGCTCCATGTCTAGCCAACTCTTCAACTATTGCTTGCCTTGAATCAATTATATTGTAAAACATAGTTGATTCAGGCTTTATCTGTCTTCAAATAACATAATACAAAGAGAGAAGAGAAGATAAGCGAAGAGGTAGAAAACCAACCCGATTCCTCTGGAGCCACCGGTGACCAAAGCTGTGGCTCCATGAAGAGACCATCTGCTCTCAAACTCAATCTTCGCCATGTCTAAATGGTGAACAGAGATTAGCTGCTTCTGGTTGATATCCGCTGAGTGTTTGAAGTTATATGTATTTATTTGCAACCTGAAAAAAGTGGTACGGGTGTCTGATTGGCTCATCAATGACGCTACCATAAATGAAATATCACCCGAATACGACGGTAGTAATCCAATGGTGGGCGGCCAGCCGAATTGACTGTCTGGAAGGAGAAATTACTTAGCCTTGTTGGAAAATTAGGATTAGGAGACTAATTGTCGAATTAATCATTGTTTTTATTTTTATTTTTCTCAATTAAAATCACGAAAACCGATTGAAGACTCGTCCTCTATGTTCGGCACTTCAAGCGACTCGCGCGGCTCACGGCTTCCACATTTCGTCAGCACTTTCGGTAAGGCCTTTACTAAATATAGTTGAGCCAAACTAAAATTGAAACATCCAATATTACAGAGAGATTAAAGTTAAATTGAACCATTCACTTTTATTATTTGGTTGCAATTTCAGATAGAATAAATCATCTATAATAAATATTAGTTTCATTTGTTTATTGTATTTGCTTCCTTCAATTTTAAATGCGCCGAAGTTTTGCTCTTAATTATTGTTGATGCGCGCCAGAAAATTCATGGTAGTAGAGTAATTATTTGGCGTCTTAATATTGTACAAGAATCCAACACGTACAAACTCAAATAATAAAAGAGAAACCGGGGGAGACACCACAATTTTTATGTGAAAAACCATTAAAAGAGAAAATATCACGGGACTTGTTCTAGTTGAAATAATTAATAATGTAATTATGAGTACATCACTAACTCATTTCCTTAGTCAGAGAAGATGAGATTATAAAGTTGATGTACAATAATGTTTCAACAATAATAGTCGTAACGGGCCACAAAAGTCAAAGTCGATTTCTATAGTCATTTGTCTGCCGTGAATGTTACATACTGTGACAATAACACATTCTCTGAATTTTGGATCAAACTCTTGCTCCTTGGGTTCCTAGGCCCTCCACTTCAGCGCCTAGGCTCTGCTTGTCTACTTTGCTCAATTATTCATTTCGTCAGCTCGAATAAATCTTCTAACCTGAATCCTGCATATAAATCCACAAATAACATGACAAGCATAAAAATATATAAATTAAAAAAGTATCATAAAAATAACATGTATAAAGATCCAAAGCCCTTCAAAAAAGGCGGCTGAAGAGGAAAAAAAAGTTCTTCTCTTTTCTCTTGTTGGCTCGTGTATATGAGATTATAAAATTGACTAAGTATTACACCTAAGGACTATATTGTTGACTTTTCTTTGATGCCATGTTAGAAGGTTAATATCACTGCAATTATGAGATATTGGCGGCTATTGTCAGATATTGCTTATACGAAGACCATCTTTGATGTCTGGGTGGTGAGACTAAATAATAATGTCAGGCGGCGTCTTTAATAAGAGATTGACAGAAGTCCTCATTAGTCATGATGCCTTTCTCGAGTTGCTACCTTTACATAAAATATGTTCAAGTCATTTTCTCAAGGATGATGATGATAAGCCAGGTCGACTTCTTCGGCAGGTAGGCTCAATTCAACCACTTCGGTTGGTCAGATAGATTCGGTCACTTCGACTCATGGACTCGATTCAGCCACTTCTACAAGTGGACTCGATTTAGCGAGATAAAAGTCAATTAAAATTTGTTGTGAGATATGTACTTCCTGGCATAGAAATGAGACGCGAAGAACACAAGCAAACAAAGATTGTTTACGTGGTTCGATTCAACTGGATCTACGTCTACGGGAGGTACGGGAGGGAATCAATCACTAAGACAAAAGAAATAGAGAATGCATAGCTTATACATAGAGATGAGCTCTCATCTTCCTTCTCTCATCTTCCTCTCATCTTCCTTCTATGGCCTCCCTCTCAAGCGACCCCTTAATACAAAGCTTCAAGATGTTCTCGTCCTCTCTAGCTCTCTTCTATTCTCTCCTTCTTTGTGGTAGCTTAAGAACTCTTCCCTTGCTCTCCTAAGCCTCACACCCTCTCTATTTATAGAAGCAATAGAGTAGTAGGTGGGAGGTAGGTGAGCGGTAGGTGAGATGTAGTAGGTGAGCGATACCACATCACAAAAGTGCCCTTTTACCTTAGTTCAATAATTGGGGGTCAAAATAACAATTCTCCACCTTGACCCTCAATTGAGAAGCTTTGAAGTAAAGATTCCCTCCACCTGACCTATGAGGGGCCCTCAGCCCTTGCTTGAGTTTGTTAAGTCCAAATAGTACATGAACTTAACAATCACGATTTTTCCGATAAGAGAGTACAACCCCTTTTTCCTAACTCTTTGTATGACGACTTTGTATGACGATATTGTATGACGATACGAGGGCCTTTGGTTACTCTGATGCAGTCATTCTCTGTCTTGAACGAGCATTCGCTTAACTCTAGCGTACCTAAAGAAATCAGATTTTTTTTAGCACTGGTACGTACCTGACATTTTTCAGTACTCGTTCAACTCCATCAAACATCCTTATCCTGATTGATCCACTTCCAACAACCCTGTGAGCTTTATTGTCTTCTAGTAGAACGAACCCATCATTTTCTTGTTGCAGTGCCTTGAACCAGTCTTTGTGAGGACACATGTAGAAAGAACACCCTGAGTCGAGGATCCACTCCTTACTGGATTCAGATTCTGTGATCACCAGGGCCTCAGCAGAATCGTAGTCATCAGAGACTACACTTTCTTCTCCTGATTCTTTTGGCTCTTCTTGGTACTTATTCCTCATGTCTGGGCAGTTCCTCTTGAAATGACCGTCCTTGTGACAATGATAGCACTTGAAACATCTCCTTGATGACTGATTCCCGCCATCCTTGCTTGACCTTGATATGTACTGACCATTTCTTGAATCTTTCCTGTCTGGTCTTCCTCTGACATTAAAACTGTCTCCGCTAACTTCCTTGTCCCTGCATGTTTCCTTTGAAGTTCTTTGGCTCTAATCAGATATTGAACCTCCTCAAGAGTAATAGTTTGCACCCTTCCATAGAGCATCACATCCTTGAAATGCTCGTAGCTCTTAGGAATAGAGTTTAGCAACAGTAGTGCCTTGTACTCATCGTCCATCTTGTCGTCGATGTTCTCGAGGTCGTCGATGATCTTGTTGAACTCGTCGATCTGCTCGCAGACATATTTGTCTTCATGCATTTGAAGGAGTATAGGCGCTGCTTCAGAAAGAGTCTATTAGCCAGAGACTTTGTCAGGTAGAGTACCTCGAGTTTGGCTTGCTCCTCTGTTCGTGAACACCGAACTCCTCTTCTTCGTCGCTGGCCGCAAACACATTTATGCAGACACCTCTAGCCAAGAAGTATGGATCTTCCCACAGACGGCGCCAATTGTTGTGAGATATGTACTTCCTGACATAGAAATGAGACGCAAAGAACACAAGTAAACACAGATCGTTTACGTGATTCGATCCAACTAGATCTACGTCCACGGGTGAGAATCAATCAAATAGTTCACTAAGGCAAAAGAAATGGAGAATACATAGCTTATACATAGAGATGAACCCTCATCTTCCTTCTATGGCCTCCCTCTCAAGCGACACCTTGATACAAGGCCTTAAGATGCTCTCCTCCTCTCTAGCTCTCTAGCTATTCTCTCCTCCTTTGTGGTAGTTTAAGATCTCTTCTCTTGCTCTCCTAAGCCTCACACCCTCTCTATTTATAGAAACAAGAGAGTGGTAGGTGGAAGGTAGGTGAGCGGTAGGTGAGATGTGGTAGGTGAGCGGTACCACATTACAAAAGTGTCATTTTACCTTAGTTCAATAACTGGGGGTCAAATTAACAAAATTTTTATATACATGTGTTTGTGTGTATACAAATAGGATGAAACATTAATTGCATGACTATATCTTTTTGAGCTTGAAATTATAGAGTTGATCCCTTCTTCATTAGACTAAGCAGTTCCATGATTGTGTCATTAGCAATAAATGTCCTGAGAAACCAATTTAGCCTAATTTTTACACCTTAAAATTCACCATTTAAACTATATATATATATATATAGATAAGTATTGTATACGAAACAAATTAAAGGCCTGAATGGGCTGGGCTTTCATTTCGTAATTGCTACCTCGCCAGAATACTTTTACATTTATTACAAAACAAATTAAGTAATGTAAGGAAACAAATAAGCCGCTCCCCAAAAAGGCCTTTCAGCATAAACCCCAAACTGTCGGTTTTAATCTTTTCACATAAAGAAATCATGCTCAAATAGTTGGCAAATAGAATAAAATCTTGGAGTCCTTTGCATCACAACATTTGGCTTGCAACCACACATTTGAGAATCAATTCAAGTAAAATCGAAATATTATACATAGTTTCATTCATAAAAAATAAAATGTATATTTTTTTCAAAAATCAACTCATTGATTATTTTCATCAAGAGAATTTGAAAGGCTGAGACAATTTAAGCAAAATTAACAATAAGGTTAGGCTAAAATGTCAATGAGAAAATTTAAATAATCAATAAAAAACAAAATTTGCTTACATTCAAAAAGACAATATTCTTCATCGATTGTGTTATTTTTCCAATGATATATCATGCCTTATTTTCTCCCAAATTAATAAACATTTCTTATATCATTTTGAGCATAATTTTTAAATATCTTTTGGTTGGGGCATGCAAGAAAAGAGGCGCCTTGGATAAAGCCAGGGTGTCTCCTTGCATTTATTGAGTGGAGAGATGTGTAGAGCGATTCCTTTCTTGTGTTCCACCATTGTAATTCATCAGAGCTTCAGAGTCATTCTTAAAATGTCATTTTTTCAGTAACTTCAACATTTTCTTCTGCTTGACCCAAACTTTTCTCTTCTAGACTTGAATATATCTTTTCCAGAATTTCTATGTAGATTCATTCCCCTATTTTTAATATTCAACAAAAAACCCTTAAGATTCTCCACTCACTAACTTTCTGTGAATTTCTTTATTCAACACTAAACTCATGGTGTCATTTTCAACTTCAGATTCTCTTAAGAGTTACTCACCGTCGTGGCCAATCCATCCCAGTTTTTTGATAATGAAAATAAAATCAGTATGTCTCGACCTCAACATAAAATTCGATCCTCACAAAACACAACTAGTTTGTTATAG